CAGAGGCCCAACATCTCACGGCTCTCACCCTGTGCTGCCACTTCACTTTCATGGATGAGGTTTCCCAAGTTTTCTTGCAAAGTCTGATGCAATGTTAAAGGTTACTAGTGACATATTAGCTCACTCAGCCTTTCTGGCTACTCTGTAGAGGGGGCGTTTTTCCAGGCTCTCTGGCCCACCATCTTGTGGAAGAGAACTGCTGCTTACTGTTCACGTGTCATACGATTGCTTTGGTTTCATGTGTCACAGCTGCTTTCCAGGTGAACAGTTCTGATTTTCCAGAGGTCCTTGTGAAGACAGTGGGAAAGCAGGCTTGACTTCAGGGTGGTTTGATTCTGTGTCTCAAGGATGCCATCAGAGACTGGGTTTCTTGTGCTGTCTCTGCTGTGTTTGTGGGTGAAAGATACATCTTCTTCTTGGTCCAGTATGCTGCTGGGACCTAGTGAGCAAGAATTAGCATGGGGAAAACGTCTACCAGTGAGACATCCAAGGGTCAGTGGTGTGGGGTGTGCTGAGATGCCCCTTCCAAGGTGAGGGATGAGTTGCTCATCTGAACCCTCTTAAGAAGGCCCTGCCATGGGTCCAGCTGCTCCTCCACTCAGGCCACGTGACTCAGCAGACCTGACAGTGCTTGAGGTGTCAGTGGGACACTGTGTGGAACCTCTGGCAGGTCCCATAGCTGAGTCACAGCGGAGGCCCTTAGGGTTAGGGACAAAGCCCAGCCATCCTTTCTACCTAGCTACTTTCTTTTTGAGAGATAATTCTTGGCCTGCTACTGGGCGTGGTGAGAACTGAATGCTTGGCCATGGGCCACCAGGTGACCTGGGCTGCCCATCATGAACCGGGTGTTATGTCGACACCAAGCCATTAGGCTGGATATGCACATTACTTGCAAGTGTGATACATGTGTGACCCGGTCCTGAAGGCACAAGTTACTTATATGAACAAGTGGCCCAAATGCCCATGGTCCCCACTCCCAATCCACTGCCTTCTCTGGCCCAGCCTGCACCTGGGCCTCGTAGTTGACAGGGGAGAAGTCTCAAGCCTGGTTTACAGATGTTCTGCATGCTATGCAGCACCTCTTGGAAGTGGACAGCAACAGCACCACAGCCCCTCTCTGGGACACCCCTAAGGACAGCGCTGATAAGAAATCCTCCCTGAGGGCCGCAGGCTGAGCAGTGCGCCTGGCTGTGCACCCCTCAGAGATGTCCAGACATGAGGTTCTATACCCACTGGCGGGCTACAGGCAGTGGTTTGGCAGGGTGGGGAGGGACTTGAATTGAAAAATTGTCGACAAACCGATTTGGGGAAGAGATATGTGACTGACCTTAAATAACCAAGTGGATTAGGATAACCCATCCTGTAGATACCAGTTAGCCTCCTCCCCAGACACCCCTGTTCCTGCCAAGGGGCTCATGAACAAAGTGGTCATGGTGGCAGGGATGGGGGTTATACATGGGCTCAGCAATATGGACTTCCACTCACCAATGGTGACTTGGTTATAGTCACCAATAAGCATCCACCTGCCAGCAGCAGAGATAGAGTCCCTGATATGGCACCATTTCCAGAGCGATCTGCCGGTTACCCAGTGGCAGGATGGTTACATTGGATGGATTCCATCGTGGAAGGGACGGCGTTTGTTCTTACTGGGACAGGCAATCTGCCTTGCCTGCACACAGTGCTTCTGCTGGAGACACCCTCTGGGGATCTGCAGAATGTCTTTCCTACAGCCATGATCTTCCATATGGCATTGCTTCTGCCCAAGGAAATCACTTCTCAGCCAAAGAAGTGCAGCCATGGAGCCTGGCTCATAGAACTCACTGGCCTTACAATGTTCCCCACCATCCTGGGCAGCCCTTGATAGGATGGTGGACGGCCTTCGAAGACCCAGTTGTGGAGGCCTCTGGCAGGTACAACCTTGCGGAGCAGGGCCAAGGTTCCCCACAAGGCTGTGTGTGCCCTGGATCAGTGTCCCCTACATAGCGCTGTTTCTCCCCTTGCTGGGATTCACAGGACCAGGAATCAAGGGGTGGAAACGGGAGTGGCATTAGTCACTATTATGTCCAATGGCCCACTAGTGAAATGTTTGCTTCCTGCTCACGTGAGTTTATTCTCTGCTGACGTAGAGGGCTTCACTCCGAGGGAGAAGTGCTTCCACCAGGAGACACAATAAGGATTCCATTAGACCAGAATTGAAGACTGCCACTGGCCGTTGTGGACTCCCCATGCCTGTGAGACAACTGGCAAAGAGAATTGCGGTAGTGGTCGGGCTGGTCGACCCTGACTACCACAGAGAGGCTACACTGCTGCTCCACTGTGGAAGTAAGGAGCAGGTGTCTGGCGCATGAGTCCCTGGGGCATTTCTTAGTTCCCCCATGCTGTGACTCAGGTCAAGGGAAAACCGTAACCACCCAACCTGGGCACGATTCTGATGTCCCAGGCCCTTCAGTGATTAAGGTGTAGGTGACCCATCCAGGTAAGCGGCGTGCTGAAGACAAAGGGATAGCAGGAGGGGCAGGGCAAGGTAGCCATAAATTCCAGCTCCCACCATGTGGCCAGTTACAGAAAGGAGGACCCAGACGATTGGTTGTCCTTAGTTTGTTCTGAATACATTTTGCGTGCGTGTATGTGTGATTTCTCAGATGCACTTTCTCATTCCCTTTTCATGTAACATAAGGTATACTGACTTCAGATCACTCTCCTGTGTATCACTGATTTCTCATCATGGTACTTAAGCTGGGGAATGTCAAGGAGAAATGGTCATGGGGCTGGGACTTCATCTCCTCTTCCGGACATTTTTTGGTTGTGTGCAGACAGTTCTGATAGTTCTGTCAGGTCTGGCGGAATTGTAGCCTTGTTATTGTCTTTATTGGGAGGTTAAGTGTGGCTTAGGGAGACCAACCTGGGTGTCAAGTTGGTCAAGTTGGGGGGTGGACTCGCAATGGCTACTTTCATAGATCAGGTTGACTGGGCCCTGGGGCCCAGACCGCTGGTTAAATGTTATTTCTGGATGTGACCGTGAGCATGCTTCTGAGGAGGTTCTCCTGGCGTTGGCACTGGGGGAAGGCAGCCCACTCTGCCCAGTGTGCGTGCATGCGTCAGCCAGTGTGCGTGCGAGGGCCTGAAGGAAGCAGAAAGGGGAGGAGGACTGAACTCACTCAGCCCCTGCTCCACGTCCTCTGTCCCTTGGGTGTGGCTCTTTGGCTCTCTGGCCTTTGAACTGCAGGCTCTTCTCTGACTCCAGGCGCAGAGGGCAGATCGTGGACTTCCTGCTCCCAAACTGTGTGAGTCAATTCTTTATATAAATCTCTTCCATGTCCCCTACAGGCTCTGCTCCTCTCTAGTACCTGCCTACTACTGCAACAGGGAAAAAGGATGGGGGTGGACAAACACCTCAAGAGGGCTGATGCCACCTGGTGTGCAAGTGGACCTTAGGAGTCCCTGCTAGAAAGGCGCAGAACACACTGTCAACACAGAAAGAAGTGAGTTGCCACCGAAGACAGCTACCGTTGGGCTCCCTGTGGGACACTGCTCCTGAGGGTCTTCCACTGGGGCCTACCTGCAAAGCAGTGAAGTCCTCAGATGGGGAGGGCAGCAGCACCTAGGGGAAAGCCCTCCTTGTAGATGCTCCCCAAAGAAGGGTGGGAGAGAAGAACTCGCTAGGAAGGTCCAGCTCCACAGGACGGGATTCAGGGAGTGCTTCCCAGGAAGGGCGGCTGGGCCCATGCAGCCAGTGGCTGGGAATGATTTAGGTTTTATTCTGCTTCCGTTTTATTTTAAATCCATAAATGTTAATTTGTGTCTTGCTCAGGGAGGAAAATTAACATTTAAATTCATAAATGTTAATTTGTATCTTAATTTGTGTATTGCTACACTCTCAGCTTCTCTGGCTGGTATATGAATTAAACTGATATGACAGATTCACAGAAAAATCATTTAAAGTTATAGGTGCAGAGATAGGCATTCACAAATCTGAGACACCCAGCTAGACCCTTGAGGCTTGTAGGCCATGTCAAACTACAGAAAGAACAAGGGTTTGCAGTCCCTGCTGTAGGGACAGCAGGACAGTCCTGGTGATAAGGACTCCAGAGCCAAGACTAAGGACTCTTGGTGACCAGAGCTGTCTGGAGCAGTTCTCTTTTTCTGCTGAACCTTTACTAATGAACAAGTCCTTTGAAGATGGACATTTCCTGTACACAAGGGCAAGTTTTCCAGAGGGGCTGTAGAGTCTACACTTCCAAGACACCGGCTCCAAACCATCAGTATGCAGGGAGGACTGCTTGGGGGTGGCATGCTCTGCTGGGTACTCTGGGCAGTGTAAGCTGAGCTCCACAACTGCAGACTTGCCAAGGAGCTTCAGAAGTGGGGGAAGGGCGGGTCTTCTGAACTGAGGCATATTCCCCAGCCGGGTTCCACCGGTGCCCACTAAAAGATGTCTGTCCCTCTGGGGAACGCTGTCCAGGAGACGTTAGGAAGAGGGGAGACTGGAGGCCAGCGGTCCTGCAAGAAAAGCCAAGGGGAACCGAGGAGGGTCCTTGGCCCCCAGCGGCGCTGCATCCCTGACCTTTGTACGTGGGCCAGGGGTCCCCTAGGGCCACCTCCTGGGCCACCCTGGCCTGGTCCACCAGCCCAGAGTCAGCACAGAGGACACACTTCTACAGGAAGTCTGGAAATTGGAGCTACCCTGCTCCAATGAGTGGAGACTGGATTCCCGAGAATCCCCCTCCTAAATTCAAACGCAGCCCTCAGACCGCGTCGCCCCGCGACCTGAGAGGACCTAGGGACTTGGGGAGAGGGCAGCGCCTCTTCTCAGCCCCCGACTGCCTGCGGGTGCCTGACCCTAGACGTACCGGAGTCCCCGCTGTTCTGGCGCGCGCCAAGGCCGAGCGCGTCCGGGGCTTCCCCTGGGGAAACTCCTCCTCCAGTCCGGGATGGCCGCTCCGGCTTGTCCCCTCCTCCTGCCCGGGTTGAACGGGGATTCGCGTTTGGGGGGTGTCGCCCTGAGCCCTGGGGACGCCGCCTCCTGAGATTAAAGCGAGATCTGGGGAAGGCCCGGGACTTGAGCGCCAGGCCGAGGAAGGCGCGAGCTCCCGGGGAGGCGGAGGTGAAGACGCGCGCGGAGGAAGGCCGAGGGGCGGGGAGCGCGGCCGAGCGCGGCAGGTAAGTGGCGCTCAAGACGCACGGGCTCTGCGGGGTCTGAGCGCTGGGTTTGGGCTTGGAAGGGGAACCTGGGCATCTGGGAACCGCCGGAGTCCCCTGCCCCAGTTCTGGGTGCGGGTGGCTGGAGGCAAGCGAGGTGTGAGCGGCAGGTGTGTCTGCGCGGGCTGAGCGCTCGGGGCTGAGGCCGGCGGAGCGCCCTTCCTGCGGGCGGCAGGACGACGACAGCGGGCCCCCGTGGGCGCACGGGTTGGAACTCCAGCCACCTCCGCTGGCGTTGCGCGGGTGGGCTGATGGCCCCGAGAGTCCCTGGCAGTTTTATCCGAGAAGAGGGTGCTCCAGGGTCCTTTGGGTGGGATCCGTCGGGCGGGGCGGGCCCCCGGATCGCTGTCCTCCTTTGGCCCCCACCTAGGAGCCCTGGCTGAGTCTTTTCCCCCTCTGGGGACCAGGGAGGGTAGACTTGTGGTGCATTTCTTTGTTTCGGGAAAATCACTGCGGCCTGGGACTGTTACCTGAACTCCTTCTGCTCCTTGGTTCCCTACCGAGGGAGAAACTGGAAACTCCGAGATGCCGGGAACGATAGGGTCGGCGCGGCGGGGCCACCGGCCAGGCTCCCGGAGGGACCCGGACGAGGCGAGAGCGAACGGCTCCCTGCCGGGAAGAGGGACTGCTCCAGGCCTGGGCCCCAGGACTACAACCTAGGGTGGCGATCAGGGCCAGGCCTCCAGGGCACCGGCAGCGGCAGGAGCCGCCCTCGGGAAAAGCCGGCTGGCCCCAGGGCGGGCACTCCCTGCCCAGCACCTGGGAGTTTCCGTCCACTGCATCCCCTCTGGCGGGACTCAGGCCGGTGGCAGGGTGGCCGAACGCACCAGCCTGACGGGGTACCCTGCCCGAGAGTGCGCTGGCCAAGTTGAAGAACTGCCCCGAGGCCAAAAGTTTGTGAGTCCACGCCCCAGAGGTCCTGGTTGCAGGTGGCTCCAGTGCCGGCTTGTGCCTGCTGCAGACAGAGGGGAGCACCTGCCCACCCCGTGTTGGGACTCAGTGCTGTGGCCTGAATCCGGTTCACAACACGTGCGGGCCTGGTCCTCAGGAATCCTGCTGTCCCCTTTAGCAGGGAAGGCTAGCATGGCAGCCCCAGGTGGGCCTGGTAGGCAAGAGTCATCCAGGGTTGGGCTTGGAGGTTGCTTCAGCCCACCATGCAAGCTGTGCCTTAGTTCTGGGGTTAAATCCAGGAGCACATCCCCCCACCCCCTGCTGTAGCCCTGAGCTCCCCATCTGCCCAAGAGCTACACAGAGAATGGAAAGTTACTCAGGCTTCCAGAGGAGCTACTAGGTGTTTGGAAAACCTAAAGTGAGGTGGGGGTTGTTGACCCATCCCAGCAGGTGGGCAGGGGCCTCCAGGAAGTGAGAATGCAGCGGCTTCCCTTGCCGGAAGGGTGGGGCTAGGAGGGGCCGGCAGAGTTTACAGGGACACCGGGACACTAACTGCTTAGTGCAGTGAGGCCAAAGAGGCTCAGGTGGGCCCTGGGAGAGGGAGTCCCCAGGAGGTCACTGAGGCTGCTCAGGACTCTCAGCCCTCACTGTGCCTCTTCAGGAGGCTCACCCTGCCTCACCCTGCCTCTTCCTCCCAGTAGCCAGAATGAAACTCAAGGGCACCTCTGGGGAAGAAAATTCAGCACCCCAGTGGAGGGGAAGGCCTCATGGGCTGGCACTCTGTCCCTACACCTGTGGGTCCACACTGCAGGCTCTGTACTTAAATAAGAGCTTGCTGGACCTCTGTTCCCAGCTCCAGCATTTGGTCCTGAGCAACTTTCCTTTAACTCACGCACCAAGTCAGCCTTTTAACAAGATTGTGCTAATGCTGGCACCAAACACAGATTCCCGGAGTTCGCTCACCCTGGGCTGCCTGGCACTGTTGGGTGCTGGGCCCTGTACACAGTTGCCCAGATCAAAAGAGTTATAACGATAGGTGTAGATGTCGGTGTGACACTCTTTGTTCCAGTCAGGCATCATCCATCTCCGGCTCTTTATGACATATTTAACTCAATTATAGGGAAACCGAGGCAGAGAGGTTAGGTAAGTTGCCCAGATCCTGTGACCCAGAAGGGGCAGAAGTGGGGCAGAGTAGGGGCTATCTGGCTCTCATTATTAACAGGTTCTGAGTTGGAGACACCGGTCTTAGAAGGGGCTTTGGCACAGGGTGTTGATTCTCTCTTCCTCTCTTAGTGCTGAGGTGTTTTTTTTTTAAATTTTTTATTTATTCTTTTTGGTTAGGCATGACAGTAGAGTGTATTTCGGCAGAGTATACACAGAGGGAGTGTAACTCCCCATTCTTGTGGTTGTACATGGTGTGTGCTACGCTGGTCGTGTAGTCTTATGTGAACATAGGGAAGTGACGTCCTATTCACTCCACCGTCTTTAGTACCTAGGTTTTAATGTCACAGAGGTGGAGGAAAGGAGAGAAGGAAACTGAGAACGAGGACCAAGGAATCCAGATACAAAAGGGGGCTGCTCTGGGGTCAGGTGTGCGTTTCCCTGACCTCACAGCCGCCTGCCTGCAGTCCTGCCCGGGCTCTGCACCACCGGGCAGCGGTGCCCTGTGGGCAGGGGGGCTGGGACTTCTCAGGGGGGTGGTGTGCAGACTGACTCCTGGGCGATGGGGTCACGAGTGACAGCACAGTGCACACGTCCTGCCAATGGTGAAGGACTCTCGATGGTGAAGCCTGGGCACCCGCGGTGCGTTTTGCCAGAGCCGCCACCATCATGTAAGAGTGCCATCCTACTCTGGGCCCAGCTTGGGGCTGGGGGCTGCCAGGAAGTGGGAACCAGGCTGTGGCTCGCTCTGTTCCCTCTGAGCCGCGGCAGGAGTCCTGGGGAGCTTTTTAATACTGTGGCTCTGCTGTAGGGCACTTGCCTAGCATGTGTGAGGTACAGGGTTTGACCCTCAGCACCACCTGAGAAAAATAGTTATTAAAAGAAGAATTGATAACTATATATAAATATAAAAAATAATAATTCTATGGTGTCATTCCTCTGTCCTGACTGCTGCGCCCCAGACCCTGGGAGTGGCACCCAGTGATCTTTATTTTTTTTCAAGCCCTTCAGAAATCCCATGGTCCAGGAAGGACTGAGGAGGCCTCAGCCTTGGGCATTGAGGAGGAAAGGAAAGGTGGCTGGTCAGCTGAGTGGCTGGTCAGGTCCCCTGACTGAGAGTTGGAAACTGGCCCTGTTGCTGGGGAGGGTGGAGGAGGACCCAGGCCTGGAGAGCTGCCTGCAGGCAGCCACCGAGCCCTGGTGGGGGCTGTCCCATCTTCTGCCCTCTCCCTGTCCACGTGTCCTTGGAGGTTCGTGGCCTGCTTTCCTGGCCCCTCCTGACTTCCCAGTACCTACCAGGGACCCTCCAACACTGGGCTGGCCCCAGGGTGAGTCTGGTGGTCTTTGAGGATTGGGGTGCAGGAGGGTCTGAGAGCTGACGTCTGGTTTGGGCCAGTCTTCAAGGTTGACCTGGGGAAGTCCTGACTCACAGCTCCCAGGTGTCGTGGGCCTGGGGTTGAAGGAGGCTGGCTTGTGAAGTCCCTTGTGCCAGCGGGCACTGTTCACAAGCAGCCCTTGGGTTCCTGGGGAGACGTGTGGTCTGTTCACACCGGAAGCCCTGTGGGATGACCCGGCGTGGAGCTGGAGGGCCGAGAGGAAGCAGAGCCGAACCTGGGGGGCTTGGCTTTCCCAGTGGCCTGTGGGCACTGGCAGGAGCAGGACCGTGACATGTGGAAGACTTCTCAGTGGTCAGCAGAGGCCTCCTGGGAAGAGGAGTGATGGTTTTCTGGGCAGGGTATAGGCACAAAGTGCACAGTGTGGACTTTGAAGAGGGCAGGTGACCCAAAGGTGTGCCCTCTGCTCTTAACTGAGGTGAGTCTGGGGAAGGGATGGGAACTCTGGGCACTGTGTCCACAGTTGAGCCCTCAGGCACCAGGGGGTGGTCAGGAGGGGCGGGGGTCAGAGGTGTAGAAAGGGGGATGAAGTGCTCCAAGGGCGCTCGGTGCTTGTGGCCTTGGACGTTCAGGTGAGGGCAGTGGAGGTGGGACTGAGGAGAGAGGCCCCTGTGGCGGAGCAGACTGTGTGGCATGTTTACAAGTGACCACTCGTCTGGCGGATGAGAGGAGCCGGGCTTTATTATTGCTTGTTTGCCTGTGAGGCCCTGTGTCAAACTTCCTCTAAGGCCATTGCTTCCCAAGAGGCCACCCTGGAAGGAAGGGTGCAGATCTGAGCTCACAGTGATGCAGCCTTGGGGTCAGCCCCAGATCTGTCATTGGACACAGGAGGTGTTTTGGAGATTGTTCTGCAGAATTCTGTCCACGGAGCTGCGTGGTGACAAGTTCAAGTCTATTGGTGGTAATACATTTATAACAGGTTGGAGCAACTCTAGCTTATTATTTGTTTACTTGTTTTTTGAGATGGGGTCTCACCATGTTGTCTAGGCTGGCCTCATACTCAAGATCCTCTTGCCTTAGCCTCCCAAGTAGCGGGATTACAGGCCCAGCATGTACCACCACGCCTGCCCAGGAGCAACTTGAGAAGGTCATCGCATCTGGCCTTGCAGCGGAAGCCCAGTCCTGTTCTAGAATATGCTAGAGACATGACCTGCTAGTCTTGGGTCCATGTTTCTAGGTTTGTGGAATTCTGTTCTTTCCCAGGTAGCCACAGTCCTTGAGCTTTACAACTGTTGGAAACTTGGTTTCCCCAAATGGAGTCAACGCTGCTATTGGGACTATCCTGACCATTGATCCTGGTAGGGCCTTGGAGGGACAGAGACTACATTAAGTCCCTTCTGCTTTAGCAGATCCTTGGTTATGGAGGATGACCCTCATGTTGTCACTGTGGCTCCTCCCACGTTGATCCAGGGATTGCTTTGCCACGTAATCCTTACCATACCTATTCAGTTATCATCCCCGTCATGCAGCTGGACTTGGGCATGTTCTTTACCTGGGCTGGTGGCCTGGACACCTCCTCTTGGAGTGGCCTGGAGACCCACCTGTCCTGTTAGCCCCACATACAGCTCTTTCGCACACAGACCCTGTGGACCCCCTGAGATCCCTGGCTTGGAGACTGGTGATGTCCAGTGCTGGCTCCCGTCTCACTCTGCTCAATGTCACCATGTTCATTTAGCCTTTGGATCTCAAAGATATTCAAACATGTTCTTTGTATGGTATAAAACTAGCTTTTTTAAAAAGAGGACCAGACCTGATATCCACTCTAAAAAGCCTGTAGCCTCCTTAGGACAATGGGGCAGTCGTAGAAGGAAACTCGATGGTGCAGGCAGCCTCTTCCCAACACCTCACTTGCCCTCCACCCGTAGAATTCCTTGTCAGCTGCTGTACACGCTCCGTCTGATGTGCTCACGCTGGTTCATGCTGACTATTACTGAAACCCACCGCTGTTGCCCAGCCTCCAGCTAGCTGGACATCCCAGAGCAGAGAGCATCTTGGGTGTGTTTTAGTGCCTCGGTTTTGATATAAGGGATTCTCTTCCATATTTGTTCATTGGCTGTGGAGTGTCCGTTGATGTGGCACCCCTCACACCTCCAGCAACTTGGGCAGTACCCAGCACACTGTGGGGACTTGTGCTGGCACAGGTGCGGGATGGCGTGAGTGAAGGTAGTGATCTTATCTGTAGGAACCACCCCTGACCCTGGGTCCAAGTCAGCACCCATGGACCTGACTGCATTGGCTTTGGGTGGTTTTCAAAATAAATCTCCAGCAAACGTGCTCCTAACTCTGCAGAGAATGGAAACTATAAGATGAACCTGTTCTCCTTTAGAAACAGCTTTGGTCTGCCATGGGGTGCAGGTCGGATCCTGCAGCACTGTCCAGGTGCGAGGTGGGGCAGAGGTGCTGCAGGTGCCTCTGCTCCCTGAAGGGACACGTAGTGGGTCGGAGCAGCAGGAGGGCAGCTGCTTGGTTGTGAGGCAGTGGATTGGCTGTCAGCGAGGAGGGGGTCGGGACCTTTGTCCTCATTTGCTCTCTTGCACTTAAAGGAGAATTTCCCAAAGTGCTCATGAGAGCTGGCTTTCCAGAAGAGAGAACAATGGTCCTTGTCTTCTAAATGACAGGAAAGACTGCTAAACAGGTCGTCTCTTGTCACCTGGGTTGTATCCTGCTCCTTTCAGAAACGAGTTCATGCGATTTGTAATCTCGTGCGGCTGTGGAAAGGGAGCCCGTTCTGAGGGTGAGCGGATGGATGCGGCCCCCTGGGTCTCTCGGGAAGCTGGGAAGCTGGCTCCCTTTCAGATCCACTTCTCTGGAGTGGGAACAGGGCTCCCCTTCCTTCTCCTCGGCAGGGGGTGGCAGGTAGCGCTCTGGTCTTCTATTCCAAAGTCCACCGTAGCCCAGCCGAGCCGGGCACACTTCACGCTGCTGGCTCCAGTGTCCTGGGTGGCGGGATCCCTGGGTGAGGTAGGATTCTCCCCTTGTTCTGTGTCCTGTGGCTTCTATGAGACCACTTGGCTCCCAGTGTTCCTCCCTTTCCCGGCTTCCTTCTCCCACTGTTAGGGATCGCTGATGAATAGCGAGTGTGGATTTGGGGCATTGACTCACCTTCCTTTCACAGGACTCCTAAACTGGGAAAGCCGCCAGCGCGATCAGATTCTCATTTCCTGAAACTTCAACCAATCCCAGAACTGGCGAGACAGCCCAGCGGGCGGGTGGGGCTGCCAGGGAGCAGAGAAACCAGAGCCAGGCGCGTGTTTGCTTAGGCAGGACTGTTTTGAAAGGAACCTTAGCAAGGGCCGAGTTCATTCTGCTTCCTGGGCAGGGGTGCAGGATTGGTCTTGGTGCCCGGAGCCTCAGGGTCCTCCACCTCGGGGACTCGGGAAGGCGTGTTGAAACGACAGCCCACCTGTTGAAAAGCCTTCCGTGCCCACGTGTGTGGTGAACGGCGATCCCGCAGCCTGCACCTTCCCAGGTTTTCTCTGCTCATACCCAGGAAGGGCTTGACTTTATCTATTTAATCGTGAAAAACATTTTGCTGCTCTTGACAAGATCTGGCCCTTCATGTAGAGTAAATAAGTGAGCTGGTGCATTTTTGCTGTGACCTGTTCGAAGTGACTCTCATATTTTCATCCATCAGAAGTCTCCGTCTTTCTTTTTTCTTGTTTGATGATCAGATGGTGATTGGCCTAGGAGATGGGAAGGCAGTGATGTCCACTGCATTTGGCTCCAGTGAATTGAAACTGGGTGGACTTTGTGACACCCACTAGCTTGGGATACTTATCAAAAGCAAATTCTAAATGCCACAAAACAGCAGTTTTTTTTTTTTTTTTTGCACTGGAGATTGAACCCAGGGGCGCTTTACCACTGGGCCACATCCCCAGTCCCTTTTTATATTTTATGTTGAGACAGGGTCTTGCTAAGTTACTAAAGTCCTTGTTGAGTTGCTGAGGTTGACTTTGAACCTGTGATCCTCCTGCCTCAGCTTCCCAAGCTGCTGGGATTACAGGCGTGTGCAACTACACCGGCTCTGTGGTTATTTTTAACAAAGACTGATGTAGCACGCTAACTGATTAGTGTGAACTTCTCAGGGACCCAACTACTGTGCCATAGGTACTGCTCTCACCTAACTTGCAGGGGAGAGAACCAAGGTATAGGACCATGAACTAGCTTGCTCCAGTTCATAGCTAGAGAGGGGCTGAGCTAGGTTTGGATGCAGAGAGTCTAGTCCCAGAGGTCATGGGCTACCTACACGAGCCACCTGCACTGTTTGCGTACCTACCCAGTGCCAGGCTCTTATTGGTGAAAACATTCAGCCTCTGATGTGGCCAGCAAAGCCCAGACCTGCTCCAGGCTCCTTACCCTCATTCAGAGCACTGTCTTTTGGAAGGATGATCCCAAAGATCGCTTCATAGAATATTCTCTGGCCATGTCTTGCCCAGCTGAAGAGTAGAGAAAAGCCCTCACTGAACAGGGTGTTAAGAGAAAGTGATTTAGTGACCTTCGTCAAATCAGGACGAGGAGGGCTTGATTCAGGACACTGTCAGTAGAGCAGGAGAAGGGCAGGGGCCTTGCAGTGGGGGGACATTGGGTTCTTTCCCAGCACAAGGGGAAGTGGGAATTTACAGCCCAGAAGCAGGCAGGATCCTAGCAGGAAAGTCACTAAGAGGAGACGAGACTTCAGGTGTGCGGGGTTCTGGCTGAACTGACCCGACAGGCTTCTTGCTGGAGGCAGGCCCGGCTGACCAGACACCCTTTGGGGTGTGGAGGATAAGAAACTGCTCTGGTGTCCAGAGTGATGGTATCCAAGGTGGGGGTTCCTGATAGCCTGACTTAGCAGGGTTCTCGGCTAAAACCACATTTTACCGGGAAGTGCACTGGAGTTGGGGAGCCTGGTAAAGTTGGTTTAGGCAAAGAATCTGTGTCAGTGGAGACTGAAGGAGAATGGAGAATTTTATGCCGACAGCATCTCATGGCTACACGTGAAATGACCACAGCTTTCTCTCACCTACACTAATCTTGAATTTGGTCAAATTAGTTAGCTTCCAGTTTCTTTCTTTTTTGATCTGGGGCAGTAACCGGAGTGGATGTGTTAGTGGAAGCTGTTAGACGGATCTACTTATTAAAACTTGGGAGGGCCTCTGTCACTTACTTAGAGACATCAGATGTGGCCTGCCTGTGGCACTAGGCGGGACCACCTGCTCCATGGCAGCTGGCCCCAGGCAGGCACCCATGGGTGTCCTGCAGGAGGGTGGAGCTGATCGCACCCCCGTCCCTTGGTGCCTGACACGGGGAAGTGCCCACAAGTCTGCACTGAACCCACGACCTAACGGTGTGGGGAGGAGGCACTGAGATTTCAGCCAGGTTCAGTCACCAGCGCCCCCGGAAAGTGACTCTGCCAGGAGCTGCCGGGGTCTTCTCCTCCCTGGTCTGCCTTAACCTCTGCTGGTCTTGATGGCTCTAGAAGTTTCCTTGTGGTGATTCCTACCTGTTTTTATTCCACGGGTTCTTCTTTTGGTAGGTGTGACATGAGGGGAAGGTCATGGTCCCCTGCTGGGAGCCATGTGAGTTCAGTAGGGCTTGGAGGCCTGAGAGGCCTTCCCTGGAGTCTGGGTCCTTCAGTCTGTCCCTCCCTCTTCAAGGTCACGCTTTCTGGGCTGCAGTGTTAAGCTGCTTGCCTGCCCTGCACCCCCTGGCCCCAAGGGCATGTCCGCATCCCAGAGGAGAACCCTGGTTCCCTGAGCCTCTGCATCCACTTGCTGTGTTTGGAGAGGTGCGGAAGAGGCCGTGAAGGTCAGGGATCACGGTCAATGGGCAGAACTTCAGTTTGTTCTGGCAGGAGGTTCCTTTTGCCAGAGTCTTCCAGTTTTTTCTAGATTTATCTTCTGAAAACTAACCTGTATGGAGGCATTACAGTCTTGTAATTTTTTCTTCCAGGTCGTCTTGAACGATCCAGATGCCTACCCTTACCCAATGCTGTTGATAAAATCAGGATGGCTTTAAACTCAGTAAGTGGTTAATCATTACCTCTCTGGCCCTTTCCTGGTCCTCACTCCTCCTGTTATTCCCAAGAGCAGGTGTGGGTCAGCGCTTTTAAGGGCTGCCTGTGGGCCCCCTGTGGCTGTGTGCAGGGCTTTCAAGGCCTTGTCTAGAAAGGCTGAGTTGGGGCAGAGCCCAGAGTTGCCCAGAGGGGTCTGGAAAGCCATTGCTGCTGGGTAGGAGCCCAGGTGCACACCCTGGCTTTGACCTCCCCACTTCCTGCCTTCACAGTTGGTGGGGGGGGGGGGGCGCCAGGTGTGTAGACAGGTGCAGCAGGGTGGGCCAGCAGGTGAGTCCTGGGAAGAGAGCTTCCTGGTGCCCCAGAGACACTTATGTAGGAATGAGGTGCTGGGTGGACTGTCCTTCCTGCCCCTGGGAAACTCTTCCCTGATCTCTGTTCCCAGCAGATCTCACAGGTTCCTATTATGCCTGAAATAAGTGCATTTAGCAAAGACATTATGGTTAGTGGAAATATTTTTCTGAGCCAGGTGCGGTAGTGCACTCCTGTAATCCCAGTAGCTTGTGAGGCTGATGCAGGAGGATCACAAGTTCAAAGCCAGCTTCAGCAATTTAGCGAGATCTAAGCAAATCAGTGAGACCCTGTCTCTAAATAAAATATAAAAAAGGGCTGGAGATGTGGCTCAGTGGTTAAGTGCCCCTGGGTTCCATCCCTGGTACCAAAAAAAAAAAAAAAAAAATTCTGAATCCTCTAGGGAAATATACCTTTATTGGTCTATCCCCCTTTATAGGCTCCTGGTCACTGGTATTCACTTTTTTATTGGACCCCTTTGTAGTGTCAGACCCACTGCACTGGAATCCTCCTGGACTAGGTGCTTGGTGACACGCACCCCCCTGGGTGGAGTGGCATGTTCAATGGTTGGGACTGAGGCCAGCTGCTCTTGGCTGATTTCCATGCCTCTGGTGCCCCCATTTAGGTTAGGGATGGCCCAGACTCTCCATCTCTGTCACTGCTCCGGGTGGAGTATCAATCTTTGGACCTTTGTACGTGGCTTTAGTGGGTTACTAAGCGCAGGTTAACTGGGAGTGGCATCTGCTCCTGTGCTTACAATCACGTTCCCTGAAGGCCCCATTTAAAATTCTAAGCCTTCAGTGGCCTCTGCTGAGGACACCTGTCCTTGGAGGACAACCCCTCTGCTATTCTGTAGCCCAAAGTGACAAGGGGCAGGAGTTGGGGAGGGTTACCTGGGGACCTTGGGACACAGACAAGAGGACAAAGGTGGCATCCAAGGAGAGACCCAGCCATCAGCACTAGAGGGAGTCCCATGTGCCCTGTGTGAGGTGGGTCTTGAGGAGGTGGCTTTGAAGTGGGCCCAGGGGGAAGAGAAGTTTTTTCTGAGAAGATAGACACCAGCTGAAGGCAGGAGCCAGAAACTCGTGGTGTGTCTGGGCCGTTCCTTGGCATTTGTGCATGTGTACACCGGCACCAGAGCTTCTGCTGCAGGGCGGCTGGAGGGTGCGGTGCAGCTCTGGCCTGCCTGGGGAGGTGGTAGGAAGGGGGCAGCTCTGCAGGAGGGGAGGGCAGGAGAGGAGCCCCAGAGTCACCAGCAGAGGCTGCCTTTGGGCAGCTCTGTCCACTCCAACCCTGTTCTGCAAGGGGTGTGCAGAGTGGTGCTTGTGCACCCCCTGGGCTTGGTGCCCAGGTTTCAGAGAGGTGATGGGTACTGAGGCCTGGCAGCAGGCGAGCTCTCAAACCCAAGATGATTAAGCTGAAGATGATTATCACTGGTTCCTAATGTTGCAGCTCCGCGCTCAAGGAGAGGCCCCGAGGAACCACAGGTTGAGGATGTTGGTCCCATGGGTTCTAATCCCACACTTCTGTACATTTTTTTCTGTAAATGTCAGCCACTTTTTCTTTATTGCAAAATAAATAGTAAACAAAACAACATTGACAGCTGAGAATGGTTAGTTTGGAATTGGCATCTGGTTTTTCTAAGTAAACTGGTGTAATTATAGACACCCAGGCATGTCTGCGTGGCCTTGCAGGGCCCCTGGGACTGGGGCCTGAGGCTGTGTACTCAGCCCTTTAGGGTCAGTGACAGCTTGATGTTATTTTTCTTTTCACTTGTTCAGGGGCCGTCCCCGGGCATCGGGCCTTACTATGAAAACCACGGATACCAACCAGAAGCCCTCTACCCATCGCAGCCGGCTGTGGCTCCCAATGTCTACGCTGCGTATCCAGCTCAGTACTACCCGTCCCCGGTGCCCCAGTACACCTCCAGGGTCCCCACGCACGCTTCGACACCTGGCATCTACCGGCAGCCCAAGCCCCCTCCGGGGACAGTGTGTACCACAAGTAGGACCCTTTTTGCATTTTTCTGCCTTCTTAGCAGGCTGTCGCGCCTCCGCCACCGGCCACCTGCCTTTCCCTGTCCTGCCGCTCAGTGCTGCCCACTCCAGGTCTCGCTTCCACCTGAGCGACAGCCACCCCCCTGGGCTCTGCCTCGGGGTCTTTCCCAACCAGCTTCTCCTCGATTCTGGCCTCAGGTTTATTGATGTGTCTGAGAAAATGGTGGCTCCCCCGGGTGGGACTGGCTGCTAGCACAGCAGGTCAAGGTCAAGACGCCCTGTGGCTTGGTGTTCAGGGAAAGTGACCTGGGGGTGGGTGGGGGGTGAGCAGGAGGTCCACCACACCCCACCTCCTCTCCTGGCCTGAAGTCCCAGAGCCCAGGGGCAGAGGGCAGAGGGGGGTGGGCGGCGGGGCGTCTTCTCTGCCCCTGGGTGGAGCCTGGTTCTGGTCTTGGCGTAGGCATCCCTGTCTATACAGCACGCAGAGTGAAAGGGAGATAATGGATGGACTTCCATGCCACCCGCACAGGATCGGGGGCAACACCACCCCCTTCAGTTCAGGGGGCCCTGCCTGCCCTCCCAGGCCTTCCAGCTCCGGTCCAGAGCTGTCACTCTGCCCCTCGCTGGCCTCAGTCACCCCTCACCCTGTGTCTTTCCCTCCCTCCAGCTCTGCCCTGTTCAGCCTGGCATCCCTCCCCTACCACGCCTACCCTGTGCCCCTCTGCCCACAGCAATGTCTGTCGCTGCCCGAAGTCTTCTGGAGGGGGTTGGGTATGTCGAGACCAGTGGTTCTCAAACAGGGGTGACTTTGGCCCTCAGAGGCAGTCGACAGTGTTGCAGAGTTTGGGTCGTTAAAGTAGGGAGGGGACACTACTGGCATCGAGGGTTGGTGCCCGTGCTGCTGCTAAACACCTGCAGTGGGTAGGAGGGTCCCCAAGAGAAAGGGCCACCGGGCCATGGTGTGCCGAGGTGGACAGTGCCCAGGCTTGGGTGCCCGTCATGGAGGTTGGAAGGAAGCCAGGGTGAAGAGGACTGGGCACCTCGGTCGAACCTGCTGACTGTCAAGGGTCAGGGGGCACCAGGTGCCGTGGCCCATGTTGTGACCCCAGCTACTTGGGGGCTGAGGCAGGAGGATCATGAGTTCAAGCCCAGCCTGGGCCACTTACGGAGGCCCTGTCCCTGGTGCGACCCCCAGTAACACACACAGACACACACAAGCCATCGGGCTGTGGGTGAGGTCAGCACCTCCAAAGGTGGTCTCACACCAACAGTGGTTGGCCAGGAGGGCAGAGGGCCCCTGGCCCCCCTCGCCAAATACTCTCACTTTCCAAGGGAGAATCCAGGGGGTGACAGAAAGGGACAGGAGCAGGTTACCTCTTTACGTGTATGTATTTATAGAAACTGTGCCCCATAAACTCAAAAATAATTTAGTAATTTTCTTTCTTTTTTTTCTTTTGTGGTGCTGGGGACTGAACCCAGGGCCTTGTGCAGGCAAGGCGAGCCCTCTACCAATTGAGCTGTATCCCCAACCCAGTAATTTTCTTCGTTTAAAATTTTTACTTATTATTTATTGAACTCACCTTGGTTTTATTTTAAAGATCATGTGATTACATATATCACAAGAGATGATATACATTTTGTAAGAGTCATCTTCAGCTTTGAGACTATTTTCCAAGTGATTTAAGTAGTAACCCAGAAGTACCCCATCTGGAGAACATAGAACCTTGTTTTTGTTTTTTGGGGCTGAGGATAGAGAGCTCAGCTGGTAGAGTACTTGCCTCACATGCACAAGGCCCTGGGTTCAATCCCCAGCACCACACACACACACACACACACACACACACACACACACTTAATGTATTGTTCTAGCAGCAGCCATACAAGTTTCCATTGGCACAGCAGCATGTATACATCTGAAAGACTGTTTGGAAAATCAAAGGTCAACCATCCTGTGATGCAAATAGTTGACTCTGGAAGCTGCAGGGCAGGGCCAGCCACAGGCCGCTCGATAATGATTAATGCAGGTGAATGGTAGGTCCAGCGAACCCTTCCGCAGCAGCCTTTGCAAACCAGGACTGAGGCGAGTCTAGCTGACCTCGCACTGGGGCAAATCCCCATCCAGAGGTAAAGCTGAGGCTTCTGACTGTGCTCGGGTCCCCAGGGAGACCTGGCACATTGCCACCCTCACTGGGAGGTGAAAGACGCCTGGTGTGATGACCCTAACTCACCAGACCAGGGATGAAAGCCAGGGCCTTGTTTTCGTGCCTGCTGGGCAACCACTACCACTGAGCGACACCCCCAGCCTCAGCAAGTTATTTTATCTTAGATACAATGGCATTCAGGGGAGTCATCCAAGGAGAGAAGTGTCCTTGGTCATGGGTCCAAGAGGCCATTTGGAATTTCTCCTGTGAACTTCCTTTGGGCTCTACCCTGCCACCTTGAGGCATGGCCACCTTTAGCCAGATTTTGATTAGATCTTTGTTCGGGCACAGTTCTCAGGCCAGCGGCTTGGGCCGTACCTGTGAGGAGTGCAACTTCCCAGATGTCAATCAGAAATTCTGGTGACTGGGGACGAGATCCTCAGGGAGTTATTAAGTCTGTTACTGCCTGAGAGCCTTTGGAGAATCCGCAGGATGTGATGAGGAGAAGAGAGGAGTGGCTTTGACCCCAGCAGATGGGCCTCTCTGGCTCTCCAACTCTAGAAACTTAATTTCTTGCTCTGACTGACTTTTGGAAGCCCAGGAGCATATAGGTGAGGGCAGCAGGGGACACCGCCTGACCAGCCCGGCAGGGTCTGCTTAAATGCCTTCTTGCTGGGCGCGGTGGCACATGCCTATAATCCTAGCAGCTTGGGAGGATGAGGCGGGAGGATGGAAGGTTTGAAGCCAGCCTCAGCAACTTGGTGAGTCTCTAAGCAACTTAGCAAGACCCTGTCTCAAAATTAAAAACATAAAAGAGGGCTGGGGGTGTGGCTCAGTGGTTAAGTGCCCTTGGATTCAATCCCTGGCACCAAAATGAATGAATGAATGAATAAATAATAGATACCTTCTCATCAAATCTCTCCCACCTCTCTACCTTTCTTTCAAAGAAAGCTTCTGGGAGCTCCAGAGTCTGAGGTTGCATGCCACATGGAAACTGCTGGAGGTGACAGGCTGGGCACTCTTCTTAGCCCAGCATAAGGGACAGATGTCTGAGGCAGGGTGCTTTCATGGTATTTGTCACTATGTTAGGATTTTTTTTTTTTTGGTGCCAGAAGTGCTTAACCACTGAACCACATTTCCAGCCCCTTTTATATTTTATTTAGAGATAGGTTCCCACTGAATTGCTTAGGGCCTCGCTAAATTGCTGAGGTTGGCCTTAAACTCATGATCCTCCTGCCTCAGCTTCTGGAGTCCCTGGGATTACAGGCGTGCGCCACTGAGCCCGACTGTTCCAAACTCTGAAGCGAACTTTGGTTCACACCTCTGACAAAAAATGCCCTCTTTTTGTTTTGTCCAGAGTAAACTGCTGACCTTCTTCAAATTACTTTATTCTTAGCTGCAGTGGGCCTTTATTCTGCCCTTGGACCAAAGGGTGTAAGCTGGTGCTGTGTGATGGGCACTTTCAGTAGTGATGGGGTTGTTCTATGCCTGCCCTGTCCAGTATGGTAGCCACTGGCCACGTGTGACTACTAAGTGCTTGGAGTTACATACTTTTATTTAATTCCATTTAAATTTAATGAACTAAAACATAAGAAGCCACAGGCAGCGGGAAGCTGTCTAATGGGAGAGGTGGTGCACACGATCAGCTCTCCAAACAGCCTTGGGGAAGACCTGTTCCTCTGCCCTGGGTGCCTCTCCTGGGACCATGACAGTGGGGGACACTGTCACATGGCTCAGGCTCCTCATTACTGAAATGAGGTGCTTTTCCCATTCATCATTGGCCTAGTTGAAGACCCTTTTTAGGGAGCAGAGCTTTTGAGGCTGGGGTGGGATTCATTCACCAGAGGTTCTGCTCTCCAAAAAGCCAGGCCCCCGAGACACATTGTTCTTGCAACGTCAACTCACATTTTTAAGTGTATAAAACCCACTATTTCTTAGGCTGGGAGTGTCTCTTAGTGGCAGAAAGCTTGCCAGCATGTGTGGGGCTCCTGAGCAGCATAGAAACAAGAGAGAAGAAACAGGGCTCCCTCCTCGGGTGGTCAGGCGGCCCTGACTGAGCTCGGTCCAACTTTGGTTTTTGATCTTACGACAGTGGGAAGGTAAACCTGTGAAGCCGTCTGCTGTTCCCTGCCCAGGGTTCAATAAATTGCACGGGATATTCAATGTTCCATTAGAAATGGGCTTTGGGTCACGTGGTTTCGTCCAGCCGTAGGCTGATGAAGGTGTTTGGAGTGCATTTAAGGCGGATGAGGCCCAGCCAGTCGGTGGGCAGGTCTGTGTGTCAAATGTACTGTCACCTTGAGCCACTCCAGCCGGAGGGAGGGCCTGGCAGGCTCCACGTGGCCCTGGTGCTGGTGGAGGAACGTCAGGACTAGGACGTGCTGGGGGAGGCGGGAGGGTCAGTGCTCACCAGGTGTCTTGCTTTCTCTTTTCTGCAGGGGCCAAGAAAGTACTGTGTGTCACTCTTGTCCTCGGGACCTTCCTTGTGGTCACTGTTATAGCTGCTGTCCTGGTCTGGAAGTTCTGTAAGTTCAGAGAACCCCCTGGGCCGGCTGCCACCTCTCAGCCATGGCTCCTACAGTCCTGGGCACAGGGTGACCCTGCTGCCTGGGCTGGGGAGGCCTCAAGGCCCCTCCGAGACTGTGGCCTGGACCTTCCTTCTCATCGTTTGTTCCTGGGAGCAGCCCATCTCATGGGTCCCACCTTGCTGTGGGCTTCCTCTTAGCCTGTGGGTCACGGCGATCCCGGGCCATTTCTGTAGTTTGGACACACCACAGGAGGAACAGTTAGAATTTGCCAGAGCAAGGTGGCACCAGCTCTGTGAGCACAGCTGGCCCCCTCCTTGGGGCCATCCCTGGTCACTATATTCACTGGGTAACAGTGGCTGCTCTAGAGCAGCCCCGCCCCGTACCCTGGGCAGCAGAGTGTCTGTCTCTGCCTTTACCCTGGAGCAGTGGAGACATGGGGGCTTTGTGGGTCCCTGAAGTCCCCTGGGAGGGTCCTTCCCATCGGCCTTGTGGACATGCCATACCCAGCCCTAATTCCTTTTGTGCATGCTGGTGACAAGGACACATTCCCTACTTACTAAAAATTGGGGGAGTTATTTTTTTTTTATTCATGGGCTCAAGGGGGGATGATGGCGCTCCATGAGGTCCCCTTGGTCCTCAGCTGACGGTCTCCTTCCTGCCTCGGTTTCCTCTGCTAGTGGAGAACAAGTGCTCCGTGTCCGAGATGGAGTGTGGCTCCTCAGGGACCTGCGTCAGCCCCTCCTTCTGGTGTGATGGCATCGCGCACTGCCCCAACGGCGAGGACGAGAACCAATGTGGTGAGTGGCTCTGGCCCTGGGAAACAGCAGCTCTGCCTGGGCAAGGGGTGACCAGCCAGCTCTGTCCCCGTCTTGAGGATGAGCCTGGCCTCAGAAGGGCTGTACTCGTGGTCCAGCGTCACACAGCAGGGTGGGAGGTCCGTGGCAGGGCCCGGGAGACTGCCTTCAAACCCATGTGCTCGCAAATGAATGCCACAGGGCCGCAGTGAAAAGCCCAGAAGCTGCTTAAAATATGAAGTTGGGGGTCACTGTGTGGCTTTAAGACAAGCTGCCTTTAAAGTCTTTTCTTTTGTCACAGCATGAGCACTTGGGTTTGCTTTATTTTCCATTGTTGGTCTGTCGATTGACAAGTTAAAGCCGTGCCACATTCACGGTGTACAGTGGGCTGCTGTGGCGTAGGGACACCTGCAGAATGGCTGCCCAGGCTACCCAACAGGCATCACCTTGTGGGGTACTCACCTTTTTTGCGGGGAGATCTCTTAAGATCTGCTCTCAGTGATTTTCAAACACACGACCTTCTGCCAACCTGAGTTGCCAGGTTGCCCTCTAGAGCTCTCGAAGGGGCTTCTCCTGTCTAATAGAGGCCATGTCTCCTTTGGCCAGCGTCTCCCCCCCGCCCCAGCCTGTGGCGACTGTCACGGTGCGTTCTGCTCCCCTGAGCGCGACTTCCTCACCCATGCACAAGTGAGAACAGCGTGTGGCTTCTTGTACTGGCGTCTCGCACAGCCGGCTGCCCTTCCCCTCAAGGCTGCTTGGGGCCTGCCAAGTCCTTTACCCGTCCATCTCCTGGTGGACGTGGGTAGGTTGCACGTGTGGGTGTGGTGCACGGGGCAGTGCTGGACGAAGGTGTGGCCGTCTCTCCCCTGGACCTGGGCCCTGGTTCACAGAGTAGTTCTGCTGATGCTCTTTCGAGGTGCCCAGCAGCTTCCCCGCGGCCCTTCCTGTTGGCGCTCACGCGGGCGGGAGCGAGGGCTTCTTTCCTCGCCTGGCTGTTGGCCCCGTCATCTTCCTCTTCTTCCTCTTTGGTGACAGCTGTTCTCACGGCAGCAAGGTGACATCTCACTGTGGTTTTAAGCTGAGACTCTCTATCTCCTGTTGATTCGTGGAGGTGGGTTCAAGGGCGGTTGGTGGCTGCCTGAGTGTGAGGGTCAGAGCTCCAGCCCACGGTGCTCGTCTCTGCGGGCCTCTCCAGGTGCCGTGGCACCGAGGTGTGCTGCTGCCGCTCCCAGGGTTCCTGTTCTGGGTTGAATGAGTGGGCAGGGAGACCGAGGCGTGGTCTCTTCCGACGCCATGTCTCCTGGGCTCTGCAGTGGGTGCAGCGCTGCCTCATTTCCCCAGAAGGGCTGCCTCCTCCCCCTTTAGGAGAGGGAAGGAAGGCTCTTGGTGGAAGGTGGGCTCTCTGGCTCCAGCCGCAGCAGCAGTGCCCCAGGCCTGCCAGCACACGCAGGACATGGGACGCCGGCCGGGGCTCCGCGTGCTGCCGTGTGTGGCTCCTCCCTGCCATTGTCCTAGTTCCACGTGGACTTCTCATTGGGAGAAGACGGCTGCACCGTCCTGCTCCTAGAGCAGGTGGTTCTCACCACGGGTCAGCTCTGACCTGGAAGGATGCCCCAACCCCACGCTCGGAGCTTTCTGTGCAAGGTGCGCGTGTAAGTGTGTCAGCAGTGGTCAGCTCTCGCCCTTGCTGTCCCTCCAGTCTTCCTGGGAATGTCGGAAGAGAAACTGAAGAGTGGCAGCGGCGACTGTAGCTAGCAGCAAATATGGTGCCCTTGGGACGGGCTCAGGGGGCAGGTCTCAGTGTTCTCAGCACGAAAGAGAAAAGGAGACGGCCATGGGGCGAGGGGCGTGGGGGTCTGAGCACTGCTGGTGACCCTCTCACGGCAGACACGGGAATCCAGTCCTCACGGTGCACCCCGGAACACACTCAGTGTTTGTCCTTTAGACCTTGGTAAAGCTGGAAAAATCCCTAGTTCCTAAAAGGAAGAGCAACAGACAAACTGGAGGCTTGTCCGGCTCCCCCTCTCCTGCTGTGGCTCCTGCTGTGGCTCCTGCTGGTCCGCATGTGGACGCAGCGGCTGGGGGAGGGAGCAGCCTGGGACCCCCAGGAGGCGGGACCCTCACGTCTCCCTCACGCTCTGCAGGGCCAGCTCCACCTTTACCTGTGGAGCTACGTTAGGTCCAGTTCCTTCTAAGGAACCCGTGACTTCATTCTCCGGGCAGCGTTGGGCTCACAGAAGGCCCAGCGGGAAACAGGTGGTGACTGAGTCCAGGACTCGCCCCACAGCATGTGGGTTTCCATGGAAGCACAGTGCGGCGTGCTGGTCACGGTGGCGTCCTCCAGAATAGGCTGCCCTGGGGTCGAGCCCTGGAAGCTCTGGCCTCATTGGTCTCTGGCTCTGCCCTTCGGGATTGTCCTGGGCCCAGGAGCTTGAGGCTTTTTCAGATGGGCTCCCTGCACTGAGCGCTGCGTCCAAGTCTCCTTTGAGGCTCAATGGCCACTTTCTGTTTGTGAGGAACAGTGTCACGTCGGAGTGGACACCACACTGGGCACGTCTTTACTGCGCACCTGGAGCGGTGACTTGCTGGGTCTCATGCAGCACTGTCCTCAGGGTTGTTCCTGGTGACCCACGACCCACCCAGCAGTCCTTGTTTTCTCACGAGATTCCACCCCACCAAGCGCTCCCAGGGCTCCAGGTGTGGCCACTCCAGGGGGGATGGGCCAGACAGGGGAGGGCTTCCACTGCAAGGCCAAGGTCATTTTGACAAAACGTCCATTAATCTGGAGGCATTTAAAGTGCCCTAGATGCCAGGTCCTTGTTGCCACACTGGGTGCTCTGCAGAGCCCAGGGCCTGGACACCAAGAGGTCAGCTAGTTCCTTAAAGAACACTTAATTTTCACCCTCTGTCTTATTTATTTATTTATTTTGGGGCCATCAGGGATTGAACCCAGGGGCACTGGACCACTGAGCCATATCCCCAAAACTATTTTGTATTTTATTTAGAGACAGGGTCTCACTGAGTTGCTTAACGCCTCACTTTTTGCTGAGGCTGACTTTGAACTTGTAATCCTCCTGCCTCAGCCTCCCAAGCCACTGGGATTACAGGCGTGGGCCACTGCGCCCAGCTTATTTCTTTATTTTTAAGCCCAGTTTTATTGAGCTGTAGTTCACAATCATCTTCGTGAGGTGGACAGTGCACGGGTGTTTACACATCTGCAGCTGTGTGCGCCGTGGTCCACCACAGAGGATCCACCATCGATGGAGAACGTGGTTCCTGGGCTCCTGCCGCCCCCTGCCCTCCTTCCTCCCACTCTGAGGGGCTGGCTTTCCTAGACTCCTTCTCCGCGTGATTGCTCCTAGCGGTCTCAGGCGATCTCTGGGCCGTTAGGACTGGCCTCTTATGCAGGGCACTGCCTTCAGGGTCGCCCACGCGGCGGCAGGGTCACAGCTTCCTTCCCATCTGCAGCAGATGACAGTCCGCCGCACACTTTGGGCCCGCCCTGTTTCCTCCCTTGGTGGACACTGGGCTGTCCCCTTTGGGCTGTGCGGCAGTGAGCACTTACGTGAGTCTGTGTCTGAACACCCCGTCCAGTTCTCTTGCGTAGAATTGTGGCCCCCTTCGTGAGTGCCCGAGGAGAGCTGCCCCGGGGCAGGTGGCGGGACGCGGGTGGCAGGGGATCACCTTGGTCGGTGCCGTTGCCCAGGACCCAGGAGAGCTCTCTTCTCACGCAGTTCGCCTCTACGGACCCAACTTCATCCTCCAGGTCTACTCGCCAGAGCGGAAGGCCTGGCACCCCGTGTGCCAGGATGATTGGAATGAGAACTTCGCCAGGGCGGCCTGCAAGGACATGGGCTACAAGTGAGTCTGGTGCTTCCGGGGGCGGCCCCACGTGGAGATAGTGAGCAACGGCAGAGACTTAGGACAGACTGTCTCCGCCTCCTGAGAAGGTGCTGGAGACCATGGTCACCTCCCGAAGCTGGTCCATGTATGGGGAGGTGGACCTGGGCCTCCAGAGCTCGCCCGCCCCTGTGTCTAGTGAGCCCGGCCCATGGCCACCGCCTCAGCTGCCTGGCCGCTGTAGACCCTGCGACTCAGGAATGATCCCAGGGGCCGTAGTGCCCGGGCAGGGGTGCAGGCTGAGGGCCTTGGGTGGCTCTTTTCTGGAGGAGACGCTCAGCCTCCGCAGACTCTGCTTGGCTCTCCTCTCCGGGTGGGAGCCGGCTGCAGCAGCGGCCAGGAGGGCTGGACTGGCGGTGGCCTGGCTGATCCTAGGCAGCTCTCACTGCCTGGGGGGAGCCACTGAGGGCTTTAGTCAGGAGGGAGTGTCCCAGGCTGGGACTCCCGGCCAGGGGCTCAGCAACATGGCCAGGTGTCTTAGTGTTCTCAGCTGCTGTAACAGAATAGCTGAGCCTGGGTAATTGTACAGAGCAGAGGGTTATTTTGGCTCGGAAGTGTGACCATGGTGCTCCATGGTGCCGGCACCTGGAGAGGGCTTGGGCCAGTTGACCTCTGGGTGGGAAAGCGGATGGGCAAGTGTGCTCCTGTGAGAGAGAGGGTGACACAGAGGCTGGGATTGGTCCCCAACAGCCACCCTCAGGAGGAGTAACCCCCTCCCCCAGTAGGCATCAGTCCCTTTGCAAGGGAGGATTTTGACTCACATGCCCCTTCGAGGTCCCACCTCCCCTGGACACTTACCCCAGGGACACATCTCAACATGGGCTTGGAGGAGATGGACCACATAGCTGTATCCCTGGGGAGGCAGGGCGGCCCTCGGGGCGGGGAAGGCTCTGTGCTCTGTGGCCACCTTCTCTTCCCGGGGAGCCTGTGTGGCCCTCCGCAGTCCTAGGGTATGTCCTCTGCCAGTTTTCAGAGCGAGGTCCCATGTGGCAGGAAGGTGCCACCTCTGCCGGCGGACGGCTTGGAAGAAGTGCTGCCTGGGATGAGGACTTCTAAAGGCTTCTGAAGTGACCGCTGTTTAAATAGCCTTTTGTTTTTTAGGAACAGCTTTTATTCCACGCGGGGGATCGTGGACGACAGCGGTGCCGCGAGCTTCATGAAGCTGAACACGAGTGCTGGCACCGTCGATCTCTATAAAAAGCTCTACCACAGGTGTTTTTCCCTTGTCGCGGGTGGTGATGAGGACAGGGGACCCCTGGACATCACTGTCCCAAGTTGATTTCTTTAAGCTGCTGTTCTGGATGTGGATGAGTTCCGCACTGGGAGGAGTTTGGAAGCTAAGCAGGACAGGCTGCTCTCAGCAGCTCCAGATTTGTTCTTGGGAAGAGACTGACACTTATTTGCCATTTTGTTTGTGACCTCTGCTGTCTGCCCTGTTATTGGTAGTTGACTTTTTTTCATTCTTCAGGTACCAGAGGTGTACGTACATATGCTAGGGAATATGCATCTGTTACCTTTTTGTTACTATAACAAGACACTTGAGGCAGACTACTTTATAAAGACTGGAGATTTAATTTGGCTCATGTCTCTAGAAGTAGAAGGTCCAAACAGTGTGGCACAGGCACTGGCAAGGGCACCTTGGACCACATCACCTCATGAGGGGAGCACCTGTCTTGTGGGTCTCCTTCCACTTCCTTATACAGCCACCAGGTTTAAAGCAATGACCTCATCTAATCTAAGCTTTCCAAGGGCCCCATCTTTAAACACCATAGTTGGATTAAGTTCCTGCCCTCTTAATGCCACTAACGTAAGACTCCAGATGAGTCTGGGGACAGATCACATTTAGTCCATAGGTAGGAATCCACGAGAATAACATCTCAGGGTCGGGTCCGTCACAGCAGGGGCCTGGCACAGGTGGCTAGTTCCATTTGGCAAATATTTCCCGCACCCCAAGGCTAAGCTGTGACCCTGCGCAGGTCACGGTGGGTGCCATGGGTGGCAGGGAGCTCCAGGCCAGTCACTGACAGCGGCTGCACTGGCCAGGAGGGCAGGGAGGGACTGGCCACCCCTCTGCCAGTCCCCTGCAGGCCCCTGCTCTTGTCAGAACACTTGTCATCCTGGAGGGTGCAGTGTGCTTTGCACATGAGGTTTCTCACCCCCAGGTCCTGTCACTTGTCCCCAGGGGTTTACTGTCACCTAGGCTCCAGCTCCGAGGTGACCCACTTCTCCTTGTGTGGAGGTGGGCACTGGTGTGTGTTGCTGGTGGCTCTGTCCAAGGTGGGGTGGGGCGCTGACCTCTGCCGCAGCCTCACTGTCCTGGGACCAGGGCAGGGCTGCGCCTGCAGGCCAGGTGGACCGTCCACACAGCGGGGCCAAACACAGCTGCCTGCTCTGCACATGCCGGCGGTTCTTTGTGTTCCTCCCTTACATGGAAGTCAGGCAGCCAAGAAAAGCCAGGCACCCGGGGGCGGGCAGAGCAGGGGAGGGGAGAAGCTGCCGTCCCTTGGCAAGAGCCCTGGGAACTCGCAAGGTGGCTGCCAGGCTTGGAGGGAAGAAGAGAAGGTCATTGTCTAGAGTGTCACCTGTCGGCACGGCAGGCTCAGGTGGGGTCCCTCACAGCTGCCCATGATGCTTGAGTCTCCAGGGTAGCTCCTTGCCAGGGTCTCCTGAATAACTGCGGCGTTCCCAGGTGCTGCTGGCTGTCGTGGCACCCGTGGACATTAGGGTCCTCAGGCAGCATCTCCCTCCAGCAGGAGTCTGCCTCTGTGCGGCCTCTCTGGTGCCTCACAGCTGGGGAGGCCCTGGAACACAGCTGTTGTGGCCAGGGCACCCAGCGGGCACCTGGGTGGCTCTAGGCTGGGGCAGTGCCAGGCAATGTGGGATTCGGGGACGTGCTGCCTTTGGTGCAGTTCTCCAAGGGAGCTGGAACGCACGAGGCTCAGGCTGTGTCGGTGACACTGTGGCTGCCAGCCTCCCGAGGCTGGCTCATGTGTGTGCCTTGGGCAAGGTCCCTGCCGCGTCTAGACAAATCATGGCATGGGTGAGTGTCTTGCTCCGTGTCCATGAGAGTGGTCTGGTCACTGGAAAACAGATTTTGTCCAATGGAACCCACACCCAGTGGTCAGTGCTGGCGCAGCTCTGGTGTCCCGGCCTGAGGCCCCCTCCTCAGTGTATGGGGACTGTTCTCTATTGGACAGGGATGGAAGGCACCCCTTCTTTCTTTGTCGTTCATAACCAAGGACGTTGACTCTGGACAAGTGGCTCTTTCCTTCTACCAGGCCGAGCATTGGTCATATTGCCTTCGGCACACACGGTGTCACCATCTGAAGGCACGTTTCCCAGTGAATAGCCTCCTGTCACTAGCAGGTGGCCTGGGTTCCAAGGACAAAAGGGACACCATCACTTCCGCGGGCCTCCCCTCCCGGCCAGCTGGATTGGCCCTGCACGTTGAGTACCTTTGTCTGAGAAGCTTGGCACCACAAATAATTCACATTTCAGATTTTCCAGTTGGAATCTTTGCATGTCTGCAGTGATCCACTTGAGGACGGGGTCAAAGTCTCGTCACAAAACCATGGAGTTGTCTGTGTCTTGTGCACATAGGCTGAGGGTGATTTGAGGTGACAGTTTTGATAGGCCTGCATTGGACAGTGACCCATCACATGGGGTCAGATGCCGAGGAATTTTCCACTGTGCTCCCAAGTAGTTGTTTGAAAAGGTTCTAATTTGGAGCATTTCTGATTTCAGTTTTCAAATGAGGGATGCTCAATCTGCATGATTGTTATTTTTCCAGTGAGAAATTTAGGAACAGGAGGTTTAAGGAACTTGCTCAGTATTGAACAGCTGAGATTTGACCTGGTACTTTGACTCAGTGGCACCCTTTTTTAAATTGTCCCTTTTATAGATCTAGTTGTCTTTCTGAAGCCTTCAGGGGTGGACACTTTTGTTCTGGGGAGACAGGAGAGACAACAGGGGGAGGAAATCTCATTTCTGAGTATTTGCGAGCCAGGCATCTCCTCCTTTATCAGCTGACAGAATTCCCCTCTTCTCTTTCAGTGATAGCTGCTCCTCAAACACAGTGGTTTCTTTACGCTGCGTGGGTAAGTACTTCTCAGCTTATCTTGTATTTCTAAGCAGGAAACATCGTGCATCTTCACAGAAGTGTTCCGCTGTGTCTTTAGGGGACATAGCAAGTGTAGGGCGAGGGAGTGGCTGGGATGTGTCCAGAGCCCCGTGGTTCCATTGACAATCTGGGTGTACTTGAGCTGTCTTTAGCAGTGGTCCAAGAGCATGCCACCGTGGTCAGGAACCTGATGGCCTGTTCTTTGTGCTCCCCTGAGCCAAAGGCTTCCTGGGGCTCCCTCGCCAGGGAGAGAAGGGGCATCGTCAGAGAGCCTCTGTGTAGACCTGGGGTTTGAGCCCAACACCCCTGGCAGGTTCATGACAGTGCCACCACCTGGCCATCTGGTGCTCGGTAGCCACTGGGCCTTGGAAGGAGAGAGCCCAGATGGCAAGCTCCCTTCCTTTCCCCTCGGGACGCGGCTTCAGCTGGGCGGCACATCTCTGTTCGGATTAGCATGGTTCCCAAGCCCTGGAAGCATGGGCCTGCCTGGCCTGCTCCCTGACGCTGGGTGCTGGTCCTGAGGCTCAGCCGCTCCTTGGACGAGCTGAAGCCAACAGAATCAGTGGCTCCCGGCAAGACTGCGCTCAGTGCCCTCTAGGTAGGGGTGTCCACACGGCCAGTAGAGGCCTGCCGCCCGCCCCACACCCATGTCCCTCCCATGGGAAAGGAGACCCCATGAGGAGGCACATGAAGGAGCCCTGATGGTTACTCCTAGGAGCCGGGTCACACTCCTCAGGCACCAACAGGCCACGCCGGGAAGCACTTGGCCAGTGGACACCACACCTGCCCACCTGGGAAGGGACTTCCCAGGGCTTCCCATGCCCGCCCTCCATCCCTTTCTCCTGATCCCTTGGCTCTGGTCCATTAGACGGTCCCCCAGTGCCTCCAGGGCTGCCAGAGGGGCAACCAGGCATCTGAGAGGCAGCTCTCCGGCCAGCAGAGGACACTGGCCTCAGGTACAACCACCTCCTCACCTGGAGGACTCCCAGGCCTGGCTACCCACAGTGAGGCACACCACACTCAGGCCACACAGCCTCCACTGCCCCTCACCATTCCTCGCTCACCTCCTCAGGCATGGCCTCACCCAGTCCTCACTCTCCCCCTCACTCTCCCCCTCACTCTCCAACTCACTCTCCCACTCACTCTCCCCCTCACTCCCTCCTCACTCTCCCCCTCACTCTCCCCCTCACTCTCCCCCTCACTCCCTCCTCACTCTCCCCCTCACTCTCCCCTCACTCCCTCCTCACTCTCCCCCTCACTCTCCCCCTCACTCTCCCCCTCACTCTCCCCCTCACTCTCCCCCTCACTCCCTCCTCACTCTCCCCCTCACTCTCCCCCTCACTCTCCCCCTCACTCTCCCCCTCACTCTCCCCCTCACTCCCTCCTCACTCTCCCCCTCACTCTCCCCCTCACTCTCCCCCTCACTCTCCTCCTCACTCTCCCCCTCACTCCCTCCTCACTCCCTCCTCACTCTCCCCCTCACTCTCCTCCTCACTCTCCCCCTCACTCCCTCCTCACTCTCCCCCTCACTCTCCCCCTCACTCTCCTCCTCACTCCCTCCTCACTCTCCCCCTCACTCTCCCCCTCACTCTCCTCCTCACTCTCCTCCTCACTCTCCCCCTCACTCCCTCCTCACTCTCCCCCTCACTCTCCCCCTCACTCTCCCCCTCACTCCCTCCTCACTCTCCCCCTCACTCCCTCCTCACTCTCCCCCTCACTCTCCCCCTCACTCCCTCCTCACTCTCCCCCTCACTCTCCTCCTCACTCCCTCCTCACTCTCCCCCTCACTCTCCTCCTCACTCCCTCCTCACTCTCCCCCTCACTCCCTCCTCACTCTCCCCCTCACTCTCCTCCTCACTCTCCCCCTCACTCTCCCCCTCACTCCCTCCTCCCTCTCCCCCTCACTCTCCCCCTCACTCTCCCCCTCACTCCCTCCTCACTCTCCTCCTCACTCTCCCCCTCACTCTCCTCCTCACTCCCTCCTCACTCTCCCCCTCACTCCCTCCTCACTCTCCCCCTCACTCTCCCCCTCACTCCCTCCTCACTCTCCCCCTCCCTCTCCCCCTCACTCTCCCCCTCACTCTCCTCCTCACTCCCTCCTCACTCCCTCCTCACTCTCCCCCTCCCTCTCCTCCTCACTCTCCCCCTCACTCTCCCCCTCACTCCCTCCTCACTCTCCTCCTCACTCTCCTCCTCACTCTCCCCCTCACTCCCTCCTCACTCCCCTCCTCACTCTCCCCCTCACTCTCCCCCTCACTCCCTCCTCACTCCCTCCTCACTCTCCCCCTCACTCTCCCCCTCACTCTCCCCCTCACTCCCTCCTCACTCTCCCCCTCACTCTCCCCCTCACTCTCCTCCTCACTCCCTCCTCACTCTCCCCCTCACTCTCCCCCTCACTCTCCTCCTCACTCCCTCCTCACTCTCCCCCTCACTCTCCTCCTCACTCTCCCCCTCACTCTCCCCCTCACTCCCTCCTCCCTCCCCCCCTCACTCTCCTCCTCACTCTCCCCCTCACTCTCCTCCTCACTCCCTCCTCACTCTCCCCCTCACTCTCCTCCTCACTCCCTCCTCACTCTCCCCCTCACTCCCTCCTCACTCTCCCCCTCACTCTCCTCCTCACTCTCCCCCCCACTCTCCCCCTCACTCCCTCCTCACTCTCCCCCTCACTCTCCCCTCACTCTCCCCTCACTCCCTCCTCACTCTCCCCCTCACTCTCCTCCTCACTCTCCCCCTCACTCCCCCCCTCACTCCCTCCTCACTCTCCCCCTCACTCTCCCCCTCACTCTCCTCCTCACTCTCCCCCTCACTCCCTCCTCACTCCCTCCTCACTCTCCCCCTCACTCTCCCCCTCACTCTCCCCCTCACTCTCCCATTCACTCCCTCCTCACTCTCCCCCTCATTCCTTCCTCACTCTCCCCCTCACCCTCCCCCTCACTCTCCCCCTCACTCTCCCCCTCACTCCCTCCTCACTCTCCCCCTCACTCTCCTCCTCACTCTCCCCTCACTCTCCCCCTCACTCCCTCCTCACTCTCCTCCTCACTCTCCCCTCACTCTCCCCCTCACTCTCCCCCTCACTCCCTCCTCACTCTCCCCCTCACTCTCCTCCTCCCTCCCCCCCTCACTCTCCTCCTCACTCTCCCCCTCACTCTCCCCCTCACTCCCTCCTCACTCTCCTCCTCACTCTCCCCCTCACTCTCCTCCTCACTCCCTCCTCACTCTCCCCCTCACTCCCTCCTCACTCTCCCCCTCACTCTCCTCCTCACTCTCCCCCTCCCTCTCCTCCTCACTCCCTCCTCACTCTCCCCCTCACTCCCTCCTCACTCTCCCCCTCACTCTCCTCCTCACTCTCCTCCTCACTCCCTCCTCACTCTCCCCCTCACTCTCCTCCTCACTCCCTCCTCACTCTCCCCCTCACTCCCTCCTCACTCTCCCCCTCACTCTCCTCCTCACTCCCTCCTTACTCTCCCCCAACTCTCCCCCTCACTCTCCCCCTCACTCCCTCCTCACTCTCCCCCTCACTCTCCCCCTCACTCTCCCCCTCACTCCCTCCTCACTCTCCCCCTCACTCTCCCCCTCACTCTCCTCCTCACTCCCTCCTCACTCTCCCCCTCACTCCCTCCTCACTCTCCCCCTCACTCTCCCCCTCACTCTCCCCCTCACTCCCTCCTCACTCTCCCCCTCACTCTCCCCCTCACTCTCCTCCTCACTCTCCCCCTCACTCTCCTCCTCACTCCCTCCTCACTCTCCCCCTCACTCTCCTCCTCACTCTCCCCCTCACTCTCCCCTCACTCCCTCCTCCCTCTCCCCCTCACTCTCCTCCTCACTCTCCCCCTCCCTCTCCCCCCCCCCCCCCCCTCACTCTCCCCCTCACTCCCTCCTCACTCTCCCCCTCCCTCTCCTCCTCACTCTCCCCCTCACTCTCCTCCTCACTCCCTCCTCACTCTCCCCCTCACTCTCCTCCTCACTCTCCCCCTCACTCTCCCCCTCACTCCCTCCTCACTCTCCCCCTCACTCTCCCCCTCACTCTCCCCCTCACTCCCTCCTCACTCCCTCCTCACTCTCCCCTCACTCTCCCCCTCACTCCCTCCTCACTCCCTCCTCACTCTCCTCCTCACTCTCCCCCTCACTCTCCCCCTCACTCCCTCCTCACTCTCCCCCTCACTCTCCCCACATTCCCCCCTCACTCTCCCCCTCACTCTCCCCTCACTCCCCCCCTCACTCTCCTCCTCACTCTCCCCCTCACTCTCCCCCTCACCCTCCCCCTCACTCCCTCCTCACTCTCCCCCTCACTCTCCCCCTCACCCCCTCCTCACTCTCCTCCTCACTCTCCCCCTCACTCTCCTCCTCACTCCCTCCTCACTCTCCCCCTCACTCCCTCCTCACTCTCCCCCTCCCTCTCCTCCTCACTCTCCCCCTCACTCTCCTCCTCACTCCCTCCTCACTCTCCCCCTCACTCCCTCCTCACTCTCCCCCTCACTCTCCTCCTCACTCTCCCCCTCACTCTCCCCTCACTCCCTCCTCACTCTCCCCCTCACTCTCCTCCTCACTCCCCCTCACTCTCCCCCTCACTCCCTCCTCACTCTCCCCCTCACTCTCCTCCTCACTCCCTCCTCACTCTCCCCCTCACTCTCCCCCTCACTCTCCCCTCACTCCCTCCTCACTCTCCCCCTCACTCTCCCCCTCCCTCTCCTCCTCACTCCCTCCTCACTCTCCCCCTCACTCCCTCCTCACTCTCCCCCTCACTCTCCCCTCACTCTCCTCCTCACTCTCCCCCTCACTCTCCTCCTCACTCCCTCCTCACTCTCCCCCTCACTCCCTCCTCACTCTCCCCCTCACTCTCCTCCTCACTCTCCCCCTCACTCTCCCCCTCACTCCCTCCTCACTCTCCCCCTCACTCTCCCCCTCACTCCCTCCTCACTCTCCCCCTCACTCTCCCCCTCACTCTCCCCCTCACTCTCCTCCTCACTCTCCCCCTCA